TAAACACTGATAAAACTAAGTTTTCCTTATTCCATTCTAAACGAAAGTTTCAATATATTCCAAAATCCTTACCAATGCTATATATAAATAACATCAATATTGAGCGCTCATTCACAAATAAATTACTTGTTATTTTAATAGACGAAAACTTATCCTGGAGAGCTCATATAAATCGTATTAGCAATAAAATCTCAAGAAGTATTGGCATCATATATAAAACCAGACGAATCTTAGACAAATCTACACTAACTCAACTATATTTTGCATTCATAAATAGTTATTTATCTTATGGCAATATTGTTTGGGGTAGTACAAATAAATCTTAACTCGACTGTCTCCTTAAACAACAGAATCATGCAGCACGCATTATTCATTTTCAAAATCGCTTCACAAATGCTAAACCTCTTCTAAAAAGCATGAGGGCACTTGATATTTATGAGTTAAATATTTTCAAAATTACACAATTTATGTTTCAACATCAGTCAAAAAAAACGCCGAAGGTTTTCGAAAATATTTTCCATAAAACATTAAACGGATACAACACGCGATCTACCGGAAGATTTAAAAAACCTTTCCGTTACTTACGAGCTTTGCCATATCCTATAGTGGCCCAATGCTATGGAACCATTTTACAAGTCTGAGTGGTAAACTTAAAGAAGCCAATACCTCTCAAAAATTTAAAAAGAACATAATCGAACTTATTGCCAATCATGGTTCTTTACATGATTTTTTCTAACAATACACGATTATTTTCAATTTTTATTATTAAAGGTTACTGATGAAAAGACTTTATCTTCTTCAGGTTCTCCGGTCTTGCAACTATTGTAAATAATGAAATGTACTTGTATTTAATATTTTTAGATATTTTACGGAAATTATCGTTAATTGTAAATGGTTGCTTGAGAATATTGAATTGAAAAAAAAAAAAAAAAAGTCGCTATCCTAATGAACTTAAAATCTCTTCTACTTTTTTAAAAATAAATTGTTGTGTTGCGTAATTTGTGGGCAATTTTGAAAATAAATTGTTGTGTTGCGTAAATTGTGGGTGATTTTTAAAAATAAACTGTTGTGTTGCGTAATTTGTGGGCGATTTTTAAAAATAAATTGTTGTGTTGCGTAATTTGTGGGCGATTTTTCAGCGTTTTATACTACTTATAATTTATAATGTTCTAAGATCTTTTTAGTTCTGCTTTACTGTTTTAAAATAATATTGTTATTATAAAATAATAATAAACTGCAAAACTGTTATAAAATTTTTGCAATAAATACAGAAAGAATGAAAAATTTTCAAAATATATCAGGAGATGTCTTCAAACCCCAAAAACGTCACTGGTGCTAGCGCTTAGCCACTGAGCTATCAATGATTTGCATTTAGGAGAAAAACAAATATGAAAGGGTGTGCATGTTAACTTTTTTGCTCTTAAAGCAATTTTTTTACATGAAATAAATTACGTAAAAAAAAATAAATTACGTAAAATATTGGAGTATAGACCCATATAACTTATGGGTCCGGAAAGAATGCAATACAGTATTAACTTAAATGACGTTAAAGTTGCATATAACGAATTTGTTTTCATCGCGACATTTTAATATTAATTAATTTCGTTTATTCAATAGTTTCAAAGATGTGGTAATGATATGATATTTTTCCATTAAACAAAGATTACATGACTTTCTTCCAGGTTTAAAAGGTTCCATACTATCAATAATCTTCCACGTAAAAATAGGATTTTAAAATCCTTTTTTTTTCATTTCCCAATATATTTTTAGAAAGTTCTGTAGCTTTAACTTTACTTTCGTATTAAAAGGAATTTTTATAATTGTACTAGCGATCTTTGAAGATGTGCTCCATTAAAACAATATAATTTAAACCACTATTCTGCGGTGACGTTTTTAGGTTGCAAAAGTTAATTATATAATATATTATACTATACTATATTTATATAGTTTACGTCTGCAAATTTTAGGTCAGCGATTTAGTACGTTGGAAAAATATTAGTTCATGTTTTAATTAGTTGGAAATATAAAAATCTAAAATTGTCGGTCGAAAATCAAAGACGTAATAATCTACGATTTAAAAAATTTCAAAATTAGGTTGAATAATCTACGATTTAAAAAATTTCAAAATTAGGTTGAATTATAGTTAATAACCTATCAGTAATTACCGTAAACAAATCAGCAGTTGAACGAGAAGATCAAAATCAATATTGATGATCAGAAAGTAAATTCTTAGATTAAAGATGAGAAATGAAGTGATTGTTAATTAAAGACTCATGATAATAAGAAGACTAATGAGACGATATGAGATGAGTAATATACCTAATATATATATATATATATATATATATATATATATATATATATATATATATATATATATATATAAATATATATATATATATATATATATATATATATATATATATATATATTTATATATATATATATATATATATATATATATATATATATATGAAGCATGTACTCAAAAGTAATTTTTATTAAAGAAATGGGTATTTTTCTTACAAATAAAAAGCATTTAACAAATTGGTAATAAATTTTATTATTTAAAAATTACTACAAACATATGCAACAGTCATATATTTGAAGGTTTTTTTTTTCGCCTCTGTAATAGCATGTAGCTTTTTTCTATTAAATAAACTCTATTTGTAATATTTTCTTTAGATATTTCCTTTTAAGGAGCACCCAATCATTTTCTATTGGACTTAGGTTAGGAGAGTTTTCTGGCCTGTAAAGTAATGAAATATTCTGTTCTAATAGATACTTTTTAATTGATCTAACTGTAAGATACGGTGCCTTGTCCTGTATTAATTTTTTTTCTCACCTAAAGCAAACCATTCTGCTAATTGTGGCAGCAATTTTTCTTGCAAAACATTTTTTATATTATAACTGATTTCTTATTCCTGCATCATTATAGAGCATTTCAATTCTCATTTCACATATCACTGACTAGATCATTGCACAGATGGGTTGTTTAATAATTTAAATGATACAGTCCAATAGGTTATTTTCCCCTTTTTTTCTTTTACGCATTGAGCCTTCTTTGTTAACACTTCGAAAATATTCTCATTGATAAAGGATACTTTAAAACATTATACAAGGATCAGATTGTAGCATTTCACGCAGAGCTCGCACATCCAAACTTTAAAATATTATACAAGGATCAGCAAGATAGTATTTCACGCAGAGCTCGCTCATCTAAACTTTAAAATATTATACAAAGATTTTTAAGTAAATCTTTAATGTAAGAAAATTAAAGTTTTAAAACTTGAATTAGTTCATTGACAACCATCTTTCATTAAATTTCTGTACCTTTTGCCCACTCCAACCTTTTCTGCATTATTTTTGGTGTCAGTTTAGGCTTAGCTGGACGTTATGAAATTTAATCAAGATTATACAGGCAATGTTGAACCGTTTTCTTTGACATTTTGACCCCAGATTGGTTCAGCTTTTTAGTTATGTCTTTGTTGGTGGCCTGCCTATTTTCTAAAACAATCTTGGTTTGTATTCTTTTCCAGCACGGTGTTAATATTTTTTTCTTCTCACATTAGTGGAAAGAAGAAAAATAAAATATCACATTTCACTACCACAGGTACTCACAATTTTCAAATATCACATCAAATACAACTATTTTTACTTTAAAATAAAGAGAAATATTAAAAAAACAAAATAATAACTGATTTTAATATATATTTTGAAGATAACTTAATAAACCAATTCAAAAGTATTGTATTAAAACTCAACAAGTGTACAACAAAAAGATTATAATTAAGAGGACATCATACAAAACAGCTGTCAAATGTACCACTGTTACCAGTAGCAAAAAAAAAAAATGATTTTATGAGTTAAAACTTTATTTTAAACAAAAGGTTAACTTACATTAACAATTTTTTATTCTTAATGTAAAAAAAAAATAGATTATATTTCAAAATGAACAAAATTTAAAGATAGCCATAATAAATTGTCACACGACTGTATATATTTGTAATTAAGGTAAACTTTTTAAAACCATTTCTCGAAAGGCAAGGTAGGTTAATAAAAAAATGATTGCTACATAGTTTGAAACCTTACAGCCTTATTTCTTCATTAACACTCACATGAAAATATTTTTAATGCCAACAAATTCGATCTTTTCTACTAATATTTGCCTAAACAAAGTTAACATTAAAAAGGTGATAAGTGCACAGGAGGCAAGTATATTAAGGTCTGTCATGGCCGCGGTTAATTTTTAAGGAGAAATATATTTAATTTTTGCAAATAAAAAATTTTAATTTTTAATTATAACTTTAAAAGTCTAAATAATAATTATTGTCGTTATCGGGCTTAACTAAAGAATTAGATGTCGGCAGAATTATTTAAGGAATGGGTTAAAGAAATTGACCTAGAGTTAAGTATACAGAAACAAAAATTTACTTTAATTATAGATAATTTTCCCGCCTAATTTAACGTGCAGAAACTTGACTGTGTAGAGGTTATTTTTGCTCAACCCATTACAACCCCAATCAAATTGAATTAAATAAAACTCCTATCTATCACCATAGGTTGAGCGATAGAAAAAAGTTTGTATTTGGCAATTTAAACTTTTATCACACAACAGTCCAACTTTTTACGTGGTTTGATAGCTCAGTTGGTTAGAGCTATCCAACCATGGTTAATTAATATTGATTAACTTTAAGGATTGTCCATAAATTATGCAACGCAAAAATTATATTAAGAACAGAAGTAGGAGATATTAAGCTCTTTTACACGGCGATTTTCATTTAAATTGATTTCCTAATTTGATTATTTATTTATAAAAAAGACTATGTGAGGAAAAACTTTTTATCTTTTTTTGTTTTGTATATTGTGACATTTTGCGTTACGTAATTTATGGACGATCCCTTAGATAACAACCAAATAAATTTAGATTTTTAGATAACAACCTACACCTTATACTAATATTGGAATTAAAAAAATAATTGGAATAAAATTTAACTTACATTTGAGTTATTTTCAGTTTCAGACATAAGTACTTGCCACTGTTGGTCAACTATACTGTTTAAAAATTTCGGTTTCGATGACATTAACTTGCAAATTTTTTGATTTTCATTATAATTAGCAAAAACACAATTTGGACTTCTAACGCAATAGATACCACATTCATTAATGCTATTTACAGAGTATGTTGAATCGATGTCTCCAATATAGTATTTACTTTTTGTAAAGTTAAAACTTGCATATAAACTACATGGAAGTCTTATGATAAATAAGCTGACGCTTGGTAATAAAATCGTACAAACGCACCAAAGTCTAGAATATGTATAAGTCGGTTAATAAGAAAAATTACGACATTTGTATATATATATATATATATATATATATATATATATATATATATATATATATATATATATATATATATATATATATATATATATATATATATATATATATATATATATATATATAAATATATATATATATATACATATATATATATATATGTATATATATATATGTATATATATATGTATATATATATATATATATATATATATATATATATATATAAATATATATATATATATATATATATATATATATATATATATATATATATATATATATATATATATATATATATACATATACACATATATATACATTAGGGGCGGATTTAAACCCCGTCAAGTGCTGCAAGTGGCGCGGTAAAAAAAAAATAATAATATTGGGACTATGACGTCTTACACCCGCTTAACACGAACTGCCGATCTTTTTATTTTTGTTATATTTTGGTTGAAAATAAAATTAGGAAAAAGTTCGCAGTGAAAACAATGCTTTGCAGAGATTGCAAAAATTGTTTTATAAAATAGCTAATGTAAACTATACTTTTCAGGATATGAGAAAATTATTTAATTAAAACTTGTTAATGTAAATTATACTTTGTAGGATTTGAGAAAATCGGATAAAGTAATTGGTTTTAGCGATTAAAAGTAGCAATCTGATTCGTTTAAAAATAAAACTTTTTTAAAAATCGTAGTGTAAATTATATTTTGCAGCATTTGCAGCAGTTTTTTGACTGGTTACAAATATATAACAAAGTATTTCCTTTCAGTCAGGGTTAGGGTTAGGGTTGATATAGGGGGATATAGTTTTTTTAAATTTTAAAGTCGAAACATAGCCAATAACTTAATTGAAGATGTTCTAATAAGATTAAAACCGACAATCTTGTTCGAGGATCTTGTAAATATGTTTTACGAAACTATTGGATAAATTTAGTAATAACAAAAACAAAATGGTTACTAATTACAACCTTTAAAGTTGTTTTATCGATTGCACAATTAGAAGAAATATATGAGCAGAAGTTTGTATCCCGTCTTACTTAAAAAAAAAAAAAATAAGCATTGTATTGTTTTGAAGTCAATCTACTTTTTCTTTAAAAATAACTAATCTGTGTTAGTTGTGTAAGCAACTTGAATCTAGATGTAAAAAACTGTAGGGGTTAAAGATATGATGAAGCCAGATCTGTCTCTGTGTATATAAATGGTCTTTCTGCTCGGGTTCTAATTATAAATTCAAAGGTTCTGTATTAAATATTTTCATGTGTATACAGAATTTCTATCGACTGAAGTTATTTCTATCAAATGAAGTTATTTGTTTGTGAATCGTGTAATGTCCAATTAGTCTTAGAGTATTTTAGAGCTTGAATCTCGAACGCATAAGAAAAATTAAAGGTTGTTTGTAGAACTAGATGGATTGAGCGTATAAATTGTTCAAACACTTGTCTTGAATATTGATCATCAATTTTCGATGTTTATGTATCATAGCTTTCCTTGAGAGTTCTGTTAACAAAAACACACAAAATAAATCTACTTTTTAAAATTCCATAAGCACTTTTCAATTTATTTTTACTTTATTTTTCGCTACATGTGTCATTGATTTTACTTTACCTGTTACTTGGTTACTGCAATCAAAAGCTATCAATATCTCAGACGGTTTGCACCTTATTTCAGCTCTTAAAAATAAATTTGTTACCATCAGAAAAGATGTATACATAATTTTCAAATTAGCTGCTATAAAGCATCATGTTTGCATCCCTAATAATATCCTAAAATTTTAAATTAATATTATTTCATGGATTTGAAATATTAATATAGCTTAAGGATACTTAATGTGAGAGGAGTTTTTCTGTTATGTTACAAGAACAATATGTTAGAAGATTAAATTAATGGTTTTGCATTAATGTATATCCATTAAAAAATTGTTCCTTGTGTTGATAATGATGTTATTAAAAGATTTTCTATAAAAAAATTGACGACCTCATTTCAATAATTAGTGTTTATGCTGCTTGTTTTAACACACACCAACTACTTTATATTAAAAAATAAGCATGGAAATCCCTTGGACTAAGATATCAATGGTGTCCTGAACTGGACGGATTAGATGTAACCCCATGTTTTTGTTTGGGATTAGCTATATTATTAGTGGACATTGTTCAGGCAAACACTAACCTTCGCTTTCTGACATTTTCTATCATTTCCAATTCAGCAATAAAATAAAACAAATAAAAATTATTTTTAATAAACTTTCTCTCAATCAACCTAATAATAGTTTTTGTGCCATTTAAACCAATTTTTTACTGTAATTGTTTTCAAAAATTGTTACTTTTCTTTTCATTTGATCAAAAATGATCTTCTTTCTTGTTGCGAAGGTTTAGTTGGTTTAACTTTTTTTTTTAATCTTGTAATATAAAAATAAATATAACCTTTTTTTTTACTATGTATATAAATATTGCTGTATATAAATATACTATGTATCTTTCTCTTTTCTGTTATTAATTTTTCTTTTTTTGATTGTCCATGTCTGGAATGAAATATGTTCCTAGACATGCTGATGAGTCCTGATATTAGGCGAAACAATCATTTGTTGTTTTATGTGTTTATTATTGTAATATGTTATACCAAAATGGTAGAAAAGAATTTACAGCTCTGTACTCATTTAACAAAAAACGCTTTTGTTAAAAAAAGTTTTTAAGTAAAACTAAGATATGACCTTCTCACTGCAATAGAAAAAAAATCCCTTTAAATCCTCCAGCCTAATGGTAAGAAGATTTAAAGGGATACATAGAAGGAGGCTATTGGAGTTATTGCTCCTCCCCTCCCCTCCCCTCCCCCCTTCTTAGATCTTTGTTGTTGTTTTTTTGAGATATTGAGCACATCGTTTAAAAACGTAAGTAAATTTAGGAGGCTGTTTCAAAGTGGCATTAAATTCCGATAAAATATATATATATATATATATATATATATATATATATATATATATATATATACATATATATATATATATATATATATATATATATATATATATATATATATATACATATATATATATATACATATATACATATATATATATATATATATATATATATATATATATATATATATATATATATATATATATATAAATATATATATATATATATATATATATATATATGTTTGTATATATATATATATATATATATATATATATATATATATGTTTGTATATATATATATATATATATATATATATATATATATATATATATATATGTTTGTATATATATATATATATATATATATATATATATATGTTTGTATATATATATATATATATATATATATATATATATATATATATATATATATATATATATATATATATATATATATATATATATATATATATAAAAGTATAAAAATATATACAACTTTATATATAATATATTCGGTATTATTGAACTTAAAATGTTTACTGGTACGAATCTTTTTCAAAAAGTTATGAGTTAAAAACGAAAACTGAGTGTTGCGGGGTTGAATGAAATAAGCTAATAAATAATAGCTCCAACTTTAATTATTTGTATAAATTTCAATGAACAAATTTTTCTAACTGAATTCAAATGACTTTCACTACTGCTTTTATAAAGCGGTTTGATTAAATGAATGAAATTCGCTTTTTACTCTCTTCTTAATTTGCTTACCAGCTCACTCGTCGCACATTCTACAGCAACTTGACGTTGGTGTTTATTGCTATGTCAAAAGAGTTTGGCGCAAATTACTTTAACTGTTTTATGCAGAGACAAAGTTTAGCAACTTATCAAAAGAATATTTCAGTCACTAGCAAATAAAAAAATTTTAAGGTCTGGTAAGGTTTTTACAGAACCCAGATCACTCAGCTTTATAATACTGGCTTTTTCCGCTCAACATCGATAAAAATCGATCAGTTAAAGTTGAAAATTTCTAATACGTTTGAAATACCAAAATCTGAACCTGAGCCTTCATCATCTTAACAACCAGAATCTATGATAGTGCCATCACCAAATCTAGCAGCAGGAACTACACTACCTCATCCACTGCCCTCTGAATCTACACTAACAGCATTTAGCATCAGCATACGTCACATAGCATCAGCTCCAAAGTCACCTAGTCTGCAAACAACCTTCAATATTGTAGTAACTCCGGCTATTCAAAAGGAAATGTAAAAAGAGGTTGCTAAACAACTGCAATAAGCCCAACTGCTTGGTTTAGGCTAATTGCAGCTGTTTTCCAACGAAAATATTAGCTGCAAACCAATTCAAGTGTAAAAAGTGCCAAAAAGTTTTGGGCAAAACTTCAGAAAGTCAAATTGTGGAATAATACCAGTGTGAAAATTCATATTGCAAGGTTTGTTAAAAAGTTGTTAAAATCTCAAACATGCATACCAAAGCGATACGTAAAAGGCGCTGAGTTTTGTTGCTACAAAAAGTGCCGCACAAGTGAAAACTTAACTCAACATCTAGTACATCTAAACAGCTCAACATCATCACAAGAATAAAAAAGTTTATGTTATTTGATTGATTTTTTTAATTGTTATTATTGATTGTTTTTTTAATTTTTATTATTGATTACTTTTTTGTTTTTTTAATAAAGTGTTGTTTTAATTACACTTATATTTGCGTATTTCATTCTGCCCGAATGTCAGTGTAGAATGGAATAAAAATTTTTTAAATCAAATAAAGTTTTATAAAAAACTTTACAAAAAAATTGTTAAAATTTTGTATATTTATATACAGCTCAATACTCTCTACAACTTTAAAAAAAAAAAGCAAAAATCTTTTTTCCGTAAAAAATTAATAATTAAAATCCTTACCTATTCCATTTGATCGCATTTTACTCTACTTAATATACTTGAAGATAACAAATAATTAAGAATTAAGAATTTTAAGAATTGAAAACATAAACAAATTTAAAGAAAAAAGAAAAGAAAAAAGGTTTCATTTTAAA